ACCACAAAAGAAAAAGGCAATGCAAGAACCCCAAAAGAAAAGCAAAAGGGAAAAAAACTAGAAACAAAAAACAAAAAAACAAAAAAAAAAAAAAAAAAAACTTTGCGCAACGTAGGTGCACCTACGTCGCGCAAAGTTTTTTTTTCCCCCCTTTTGCTTATGAACTAATTTGATCATCAATTTAAAACATTTACACAAGTGGATACCATAGAATCTTATGTTATACTTAAAGAAAGTATAAGTAAACTCCAAGTGTTGGTGAATCTATCGTTTTGATGGGATACGCATTGTACGAAACTAGTTTCAACGATCCAACCGTCGAATTTGTTTGTATATGCATCGAGATTGCATACGTCAAAAATCACAAAAAATAAACATTCAGACATCAAGTAAAGGGACAAACCTTTTCGACAATTATAAACGAAAAATCACGATTTAATTGTTATTTTAACTCCGATTTTGATGATTTTTTTACAGCTACACTCCTTAACCCTACATGAATACAATGAACTAATTCGATTGTCAATTTAAAACATTTACACAAGTGGATACAACAAAAGAAAAAGGCAATCCAAGAACCCCAAAAGAAAAGCAAAAGGAAAAAAAAAAAAAAACTCTGTGCGATGAAGATGCCCCAGCATCGCTCAAAATAGCTTTGACCGACGTAGGTGTCGTGCAAAGTTTTTTTTTTCCCTTTTGCTTATGAACTAATTCGATCATCGATTTAAAACATTTACACAAGTGGATACCACAAAATCTTATGTTATACATAATGAAAGTCTAAGTAAACTCCAAGTGTTTGTGAATCTATCGTTTTGATGGGATACGCATTGTACGAAACTAGTTTCAACGATCCAACCGGCGAACTTATTTGTATATGCTTTGGATCGCATACGCCAAAAATTGCAAAAAACATATATTCAGATATCAAGTAAAGGACAAACCTTTTCGACGGTTATAAATGAAAAATCACGATTTAACGGTTATTTTAACTCCGATTTTAATGATTTTTTACATCTACACTCCTTAACCCTATATGAATACAATGAACTAATTTGATCGTCAATTTAAAACATTTACACAAGTGGATACCACAAAAGAAAAAGGCAATGCAAGAACCCCAAAAGAAAAGCAAAAGGAAAAACAAAAAACTTTGTGAGACGTAGTTGCACCCGCTTCGCTCAAAACAGTTTTATGCGACGAAGAGCTACGTCACGCAAAGTTTTTTTTTCCCCCTTTTGCTTGTGAACTATTTTGATCATTGATTTAAAACATTTACACAAGTGGATACCACAAAATCTTATGTTATACTTAATGAAAGTATAAATAAACTCCAAGTGTTAGTGAATATATCGTTTTAATGGTATTTGCATTGTACGAAACTAGTTTCAACGATCCAACCGTCGAACTTGTTTGTAAATGCTTCGAGATCTCATACGCCAAAATCGCAAAAAATAAACATTCAGATATCAAGTAAAGAGACAAACCTTTTCGATGGTTATGAATGAAAAATCACGATTTAACGGTTATTTTAACTCCGATTTGATGATTTTTTACATCTACATTCCTTAACCCTATATGAATACAATTAACTAATTTGATCATCAATTTAAAATATTTACACAAGTGGATACGACAAAATAAAAAGGCAGTGCAAGAACCTCAAATGAAAAGCAAAAGGAAAAACAAAAAAAACAAAAACTTTGTTCGACGTAGGTGCACCAGCGTCGCTCGAAAGAGCATTGCGCAACGAAGACCTACATCACCTAAAACAGCTTTGTGTGACGCAGGTGCACCTCCGTTGCGCAAAGTGTTTTTTTTTCCCCCTTTTTCTTGTGAACTAATTCGATCATCGATTTAAAACATTTACACAAGTGGATACCACAAAATCTTATATTATACATAATGAAAGAATAAGTAAACTCCACGTGTTAGTGAATATGTCTTTTTGATGGTATACGCATTGTACGAAACTAGTTTCAACGATCCAACCGTCAAACTTGTTTGTAAATGCTTCAAGATCGCATACGCCAAAAATCACAAAAAACAAACATTCAGATATCAAGTAACAGGACAAAAAATTTCGACAATTATAAACAAAAAATCACGATTTAACGGTTATTTTAACTCCGATTTTGATGATTTTTTACAGCTTCACTCCTTGACCATATATGAATGCAACGAACTGGTTTGATCGTCAAAACAGCTTTACGCGACACAGGTGCACCTACGTCTAGCAAAATTTTTGTTTTTTTTCCCTTTTGCTTATAAACTAATTCAATCATTGATTTAAAACATTTACACAAGTGGATACCATATAATCTTATGTTATATTTAATGAAAGTATAAGTAAACTCGAAGTGTTAGTGAATCTATCGTTTTGATGGGATACGCATTGTACGAAACTAGTTTCAACGATGCAACCATCGAACTTGTTTGTATATGCTTCGAGATTGCATATGCCAAAAATCGCAAAAAACAAACATTCATATATCAAGTAACAGGACAAACCTTTTCAACGGTTATAAACGAAAAATCATGATTTAATGGTTATTTTAACTCCGATTTTGATGATTTTTTTTACAGCTACACTCTTTAACACTGTATGAATACAATGAACTAATTCGATCGTCAATTTAAAACATTTACAAAAGTGGATACCACAAAAGAAAAAAGCAATGTAGGAACCCCAAAAGAAAAGCAAAAGGAAAAAAAAAACTTTTCGCGACGTATGTGCACTGGCGTCGCTCAAAATAGCTTTGCGCGGCGAAGACCTACGTTGCACAAAGTTTTTTTTTTCCCCTTTTGCTTATGAACTAATTCGATCATCGATTTAAAACATTTACACAAGTGGATACCACAACATCTTATGTTATACTTAATGAAAGTATAAGTAAACTCCAAGTGTTAGTGAATATATTGTTTGATGGAGTACGCATTATACGAAACTAGTTTTAACAATCTAACAGTCGAACTTGTTTGTATATGCTTCGGGATCGCATATGCCAAAAATCACAAAAAACAAACATTAAGATATGAATACAATGAACTAATTCGATCATCAATTTAAAACATTTACACAAGTGGATACTACAAAAGAAAAAAGGCAATGCAAGAACCCCAAAAGAAAAGCAGTAGGAAAAAAAAACTTTGCGCGACGTAGATGTACCGGCGTTGCTCAAAGTTTTTTTTCCCTCCTTTTGCTTATGAACTAATTCGATCATTGATTTAAAACATTTACACAAGTGGATACCACAAAATCTTATGTTATGAAAGCATAAGTAAACTCCAAGTGTTAGTGAATCTATTGTTTTGATGGTATACACTTTGTACGAAATTAGTTTCAACAATCCAACCGTCGAATTTGTTTGTGTATGCTTCGAGATCGCATACGCCAAAAATCGCAAAAGACAAACATTCAAATATCAAGTAATGGGAGAAACATTTCGACGGTTATTAACAAAAAATCCCGATTTAACGGTTATTTTAACTTCGATTTTGATGATTTTTTTACAGCTACACTCCACAACCCTATATGAATACAATGAACTAATTCGATCGTCAATTTAAAACATTTACACAAGTGGATACCACAAAGGAAAAATGCAATGCAAGAACCCCAAAAGTAAAGCAAAAGGGAAAAAAAAAACTTTGCGTGATGTAGGTGCACCGGCGTCACTCAAAACAACTTTGCACTACGAAGACCTACGTCATGCAAAGTTTTTTCCCCCTTTTGCTTATGGACAAATTCGATCATCGATTTAAAATGTTTACACAAGTGGATACAACAAAATCTTATGTTATGAAAGTATAAGTAAACTCCAAGTGTTAGTGAATTTATTGTTTTGATGGGATACGCTTTGTACGAAATTGGTTTCAACAATCAAACTGTCGAACTTGTTTGTATATGCTTCAAGATCGCATATGCCAAAAATCGCAAAAATCAAACAATCAAATATCAAGTAATGAGACAAACTTTTTCGATGGTTATAAACGAAAATCATGATTTAACGGTTATTTTAACTCTGATTTTGATTTTTTTTACAGCTACACTCCTTGACCCTATATGAATACAACGAACTGATTCGATTGTCAAAACAGCTTTGCGCGACGTCGGTACACCTGCGTCGCGCAAAGCTAGGAAAAAAACGGTAAAGCATTCTTGGTTTGGCGCCAAAATCTTGCGCAATGCAGAAAACATCGTGCCAACGTCCTTTGTGCGACAAAGACTGGTGTTGCACAAAACTATTTTGTGCTACAAATATGCGCGTTGCGCAAAGATGTTTTGCGCGACACCAGTCTTTGTCGCCCAAAGTGTCGTTGCACAAAAGCCGTTTGCGCAACATTATGTGTTTAGCGTTGCGTAAACAACTTTTTGTACTAGTGCATATGTCTCATAGACGTACAATTATAAATTATGTATCTAAATAACATTATATTGTACTGGCATTGTACTAAAACTCAAATGAGAAAACGTAAAATTCATTTCTCACACCCAAGGTATTAAATATCGGTAATATCGGAAATATTGGTAGTCTAAAAACACGGAAATATCGATGGAAATATCGGGATAATATCGATATCGATAAAAATTACATGGAAACCACGGAAATTGTAAGAAAAACTTGGAAATTTTTATTGAAACTTTGCAGGATGTTTATTTAGTCAATTATCTATTAGTTTATCACAAAAAATTGGAAGGAAATGCATTGCATGATGGATTTAACATTATCAAGTTGATTATATAGCGTGCTGACAAACATTGTGAGTATAGAAAATATGTAGTAATTAATGAAAGAAGTCTAAACACACCATAATCATTTATATATAATGAATTAGTACAATATTTTACACTTTTCACATGATGCAGCACACCATTCCAAAACCTTTTTTTATTATTATTATTTCTTCTTCTTCATTTTTTGTTTTTTTTGGCAAACATTTTTTCTTCTTGTTTTCAGATGGTGCCAACGCACCACTTCTTTTTCTTCTTCTTTTCAGATGGTGCCAACGCACCAATCCAAAAGCCCTTCTTTTTCTTCTTCTTTGCAGATGGTGCCAAGTCACAGACGCAACACAGAGACCTCAGTCCCTTCTCCCTTCTCCCTTCTCTCTTCTCCCTTCTCCCTCCTTCCTCATTCCCACAACTTTTAATTATTTTTCGATATCTCTCTCTCTCTCCTCCCTGCTCGTCACTCTCTTCAGATCCCACTCTCTCTGCAAATCCCAAATTCCCAATCGCCCCTCTCTCTCTCTCTCTCTCTAAAATCCATTCCGTCAGGGAATCAAAATCCCATCTTTTTCATTCACATACAAAACCCACACACATATTTATAGATCTGCTGCTCCTCCTCCCATGGCTTTCACCGGGAATCAAAATCCGCCGCCGCAACAGCAACCGCCGCCCTCGGCCGCTGCTGCGTCGTTTCCCGCCGCTTCCACTCCCTCGTCCCCCAAGTAGAAAACGTTGTCGTCCGTGTCGACTGCTCCGCCTCCTCATCTTCCTCCTCCGACAAGTCTCTGACCCCCTAGATCGGAGTCTAGGGTCCTGTTTTACAGTCGGCCGGAGCTGTAGAAGCTTCGGCGTTCTTCTCCGAGTAGTAGTTCAAAAAATATAGCGATATTTTGACGAAAACCATTTGGATACCTATTTAAATATCCATTGCGCGAAAAACCGATAATATCGGCGATGTTTCGCCGATATTATCGGCATTTTCTTCCATGCTCACACCTAAAATTATTGTAAATTAGATCTTAAAATCGTTCATTTGAGACCAATTGATTTGCTCGATTTCAGGGAGAAGCCACACGATCTATCCCAGTTTTCTTCTAAAATCGACCAAATCTACAGAAACCTTTTGTCGCAGATTGTGACTATGCATTCGTGTTTGTGCTCATGTGCTGTGACCATGGCTGAGCCTATGGAGTTTTTAACAGAGCGAATTTTTGGAGAGGATAGTACTCAGACCGTACTTATTGATGGTTCGACTAACAATCCGGTTTGCTTTCTTTCTAACCACATTGCTCCTCTTGATCATTTGTTAATTAATTAGAGGCAGCGCATATGCAATGCTACTGGATCATTTTTTAAATTTCTTTTCAAATGGTTTTGCCAATTGTAATACTTTTTTATCACACACTCACCCTACAAATTAAACAGGTTCCGTTGGATGTGCTGAGCCACAATAATTTGTTGCTGTTCCTTTCGAACCTTACCAATATTTCTGACTGATATTGAAGCTCTCAAGATCGTTAATGAGGGAATAAAAGCATATGACAAATCTAACATTGTGTGGATCCCCGTTGTGAAGCAGTGGACTGATGAACTGCGAAACAAGTTCGAGATCTTGAGAAGGAAGATGCGGTGCGTGGTACATAGTGCAGTGTTCGTCAAACTTAACGGCTGGCAACAAATTCATCGAGAACATGTGGTATTTCAGGCGTAAACCTGTGGTGGTGGTGATGAACAAACAAGGTATGGTGAAAAATCTAGATGTTCTCCCCTTCTAATGGTGTATCACGGTAATTCTTCAATAAGCCCAGCAAATTTATGTTGTTGCAAATGTACATTTCACCTTCAGGTGAGAGTGACTTAACAATTAAACTGTCATAAATCACACACATCAAACCACTTTGACAGTTTGTGTTCAGCACTCATCAACTGCATTCATATGAGACATCTGAAAGTTAAAAAGACTCATGGGATGAAACTAGCGTCCATAATGCACAGGATAAAAACCACCAACCAGTCTCAAAATAAACTTATTCTCTCAATAAGAACTATAAGAACTAGAAAATTAACACAAAAGAGATCAGAAGTTACTCAAAAGGATATTAACATACCAAAGTTACAGTAACAAGGTCAACAACAATAACCAGCATCGCTAAGTTGTACATTTCCAAGTCATGATAAGAAAAGAACACCACCTTCCTAATTTGCTTACAGAAGTGGAACCGATCTAAGAAACCGGTCCGAGATAATCTGCATGCAAGCCAACCAAAGCCTGAAATTCCCTTTGTGCCTCAAGCCACTTAGTCCCAATAACAATGAAGCGTACGGTGGTGCCTTTCTCAATTTTTGACATCTTGCTGTTCATGAATACAGGATTCTCCCCTGGCACATAATTATAATCCGGCATCTTCATCTTCGAGAGATACATGTTTTCAACTGGGCCGCAACTCAGGAAAACTCCATGCTTCAGAACCTTGTGGACAACCCCCTCAGCAATCTCTCCCCTGAAAAGCTTGAAGGTAACCGCGCTAAAAACAACAGGAAACAGAACATCCCCAGTCTGCTGCCTCACTTTACCCTCTCCAACACTCTCCAGAGTTGTGAGAGCGAGATAGTAGCCCAGATCTTTGGTTGCCTTTCTTGATGCAAAGTCCTCCAGCAAGCGGATAACAATTGACTTTTGGAGTATCAACCCTTTCATATCCAAGCTCTCAGCAGGGATTACAACGTTCCAGGGCAATTGTACTTTCAGAAACATGGCTGCTTTTTCCTACCTATCATAAACCAGAGAATGAACTAAGTGAGTATCCAACCCATCAACTGTAAAAAATCTAGAAAGCAAAAGAAAACATGTAAAGAGCAACCAAACAATGAACTAAGTGAGTCCTGCTCTCCTGAAAGAGCAGAGCAACACAACTATTCCAACATTGCTCAGATGGCTACAAAGGATTACAGAAATAAGCATAACAAGTGTCCGTTTTTCAGATGAATCAGCTCAATATTTCTTTCCCCACATTTTCTATCCTTCTCCCATAACTCACGCTGGGTCCTTCATGCACGTTCTCTCCCATTTTATTCTCATTATTCTCTTCCCAAACCCTTTCCCTTTTCTGGAGAAACAAGATACTCAGATTTGAGGAAAATAAATACTCTGAGCAGAACTGCAGAACCAGCTCAACTATAGGCCCCACTTTTTTTGTGAGAGGAGTGTTAATCTACCTAATATAACTCTTTCCCCTGGTTCTACACATGCCTCAAAGCTCAATGTCCAGTTGTCTCTATCACTTGACTTCTCTCTATGAAATCATAGGAATCAATTTGGAAACTCAATCCCCCTTACCATACACGCATCATCATATGACTATTGCAACTGTATTATTAATTATTATACAGAACACAAAAAAAGAATCTCTCTATAAAGTAAATAGACATAAGAAAATAGGTAAAGTTATAGAAGCTGATAGTGAATGCTCTCCTGGTTCCTCGAAACTCGTCTCACTCTCCCTTTTCATTCATCATTCGTTACTAACAATAATGACCTATCAAGAAAACAAAACTCGAAATAAGACATTTTGTCAATCTTTATCTCATGTCATGAATGTCATCATGTATATTTAGATTTGAGATCAGAGCAGAGGTTTAAGGAAACAGTCAAACATATAGACCTCTGAAGGAGACTCGTTGACCCATAGATTCTTTCTTCTGGGAAATTGTCTGCAGATTCATTTCTGCATCAGACTACTATAGAGCTCTGCATGAGGGTGAACAATGCGTCAAGAACTTTCCGCACAACCTACCTCATTTCAGAGCTTTGGGCAACAGGCCTGTAACCAAACCCCTACCAGGGGCTTTGGTGAAATAAATGGGGAAAGGAGTAGGGATGGAGATTTTGGTAAAATTTCCGATCCAGGGCAATCCTTGCCCCCTTTGCCTACAAACATATAGTATATGCTTACTTGCTAAGTTTTTCAAATTTTGTATATTTCTATGTCATTTAAATGCTAAATTAACTTATAAGCTTATTAACATAAACCAGTTCTATATTATGTATATATAGTTGTTTCCTTTACGAAAAAGTGGAGGGGAGGGCACATGAATACCCCACATTCCCTAAGGTGAGAATGTGAACAAAATATGGAGATTGCAAATCAAAGTGAGGACGGAAAAGGATGGAAAATTTATCCCTTCACCACCAGCCTTTGCTAGCTTGGTTTAGTTGTGGAAAACTAAGGTACATGCCTTCTGCTAGGTGCTTGGAACCCATACACTTATACACATTAGTAAGAACTAACCACCCGCCGTAAAACAAAGTGAAGCAGCAAAATACAAACAAATACGTAATCACTATTAAATCAGGCCTAAACCATAAACCCCATTTCCCATTCCCTCATATGATCTATCAATATCTAGCGCAAAGAGGTTCTGAAACCACAAATTAGCTGTTTCATCCATTCAAATGTTCTTCAAACCTCTCCATTTCAGTACCAAAACCACAAAATTCCTCGCTCAAGGACTCACTGTGAAGTCAAATTTCACAAATCTACAAACCAAAATCCAATTTCTCAAATATGTGAAACCCAATTACTCAAACAACAAAATAATACAAGCACAAGCATGCATATACATTGATATATATATATACACACACACACACACACATACATACACACACACACACACAAAGATTAGGGTTTGCAAAAGCTTTAAAGCACGTACCTTTGGAAGGCGAAAACCCCTACACAAGAGAAAGCGGAAGCTTTTGGAGGATGGGCTGAGACAGATGGCGAGTGGGTCAACCGCGTGGAGCCCTAGGAACGAGTTCACTCACTGAGTCGACGGCTCTGACCCTCCAGCTGAGCTGAGCTGAGCACACTGCGTGACTGGCGAGTGGCGAGTGGCAAGGGAGAGATAGACTCTTCACACTTTCCTTGGTTTTTGTTTTGGGTATGCGTTATTAAATACCGGTAATATTGGAAATATCGATAGTTCGAAAACACGAAAATATCGATGGAAATATCGGGATATTATCGATATCGATAAAAATAATATGGAAACCACGGAAATTATAAGAAAAACTTGGAAATTTTTATTGAAACTTTGCAGAATATTTATTTAGTCAATTATCTATTAGTTTATTACAAAAAATTAGAATGAAATGCATTTCATGATGGATTTAACATTATCAAGTTGATTATATAACGAACTGGCAAACATTGTGAGTGTAGAAAATATGTAGTAATTAATGAAAGAAATTTAAACACACCATAATCATTTATATATAATGAATTAGTAAAATATTTTATACTTTATACATTGCATGGTAAGATACATGAGTAACTTAGTACCACATAGAGTTCCTATGAGGTTCAAATTTTCACTATCTTCATCATCTCTATGTGTAGAGTGAGTGTATTGTGAAGAATAGTTATCAAATGATAAATCCCTAAAATAGTTTTGCATGTAATTGTTAACATGCCACCTATATGGATCCGAGATTGGTTGACGTTGTTCATAAGAAAAATCATTTGAAGATTGAGTCTCAGATTATTTTCATAAGTCGCTTGATTCCATCCTAACAGGAATGGGATATGAAGGGTAGGGAAATGGTTGGTTATGAGTATAACCATAGTTATTACTTCCCACTCCAACAGAGTCTAAAGTTATAGATAACGAGTCATCTTCTTGACTTGACAAAATCCCCTTGCCTCTTTCTCTACGAGTATAGTCCTTCCCTATGGCACCAATTCATGGTCCTGCCCGCCTACTACCATGGTCCTCATTCTGTGTTGCATCGTGAAGTTTGCCTCACCAGTGAAGAGGCTCATAAATCCGGGAGGTGGTCTAACATAGTTTCCATATCCACCACCACTACCTCCAACTCCATTATATCCTTCATCATTCTCACCTCCGATGGTAGGTGAGTCTCCTGATCTTGTACTAAAACTATCATTAGTATCAGCACGATGTTGTGTTTGTATAGGATTGGAAGAAGGTGGAATTCTAGTGTTTCTTGGTCTTGGGCGCAAAAGTTCTTCCAAAGAGTCAACGCTGCTAGATCCCACCTCCTCCTAATACTCTTTCTACATTTATCCCTTCATTACGTGCTTCTTCAGCAACTCTGAGAGCTGGATTGCTTTCATCATCATCTAAATGAAGAGGTCTAATCCATTGATAAAGTTGGTTACCCTCTATATCATCATCTTCAGCAACAATATCAAGCACATCTAGTGGGTCACCACGGTCGACATGATTTATTTCTACTTCCTTATCTCGAATTTGAAGCTTCATATTGTAGTAGCAATAAACTAATTTTTCCAACCTACTATGAGCCAACCTATTTCTTTGCTTTGTGTGTATGAGTGCAAATGTGCTCCAATTTCTTTCACAAGCAGATGAGGAAGTTGTTTGTGATAATACTTTGATTGCTACCTTTCTCACAGTTGGTGCATCAGTCTCATACATGATCCACCATTCAGCTACAATGAAAAACAATGTTGATAAGCCTAATAACTCCAACAAATATTATAAACTTATCGTGAAATATGTTTACACTCACTAGGAGACATTTTTGTTCGAGCAGCAACTGATGTTGGTTCTCCAAAAGTTCTTCTTGCATCTTTAAACCATGTTAGCTGAATTCAATAAATCGTGTTAGTTTAATCAAACAAAGTAATTATTATAATTTAAGTAATTGTTTACCTCATTTCCAAATTGGCCAACTGTTGGTGATGCAAGGTCTAATTTAGAGTATATATTATGTACAACACGTATAAGGGTACCATCATCTCCAACACCGGGTCTGTATTGGTATCGAGGATTCAAATAATATGTTGTTCAAAGAAACACATACTCTAATAAGAGAAATAATACTTATGCAACTAAAGAAATGAATTGCAAATTATGACATAATTTATACCTGCTGCATGCAAATCGTGGTATAATGTTTTATACCATCGGTCTTCAATTATCTTTATGACCCACCTTGCACCATGTTTTCTTTCCAATTCATCCTTCACTACACGCATCAACTCATATATTGCCCCCATAGTAGGATACACTTCTGTGTCAACGATCCGTAAAACTTTGTAAAGAGGTTCAAACAGTTGGCACACATGTTCTGATTGAGTCCAAAAAGCATGATTAAGCACTATACTTTCCACCATACGACCTGCATTTGAGCGGCTCAAAATGTGGTTGGCGCAATCGTCACTAGTGAATAGTTGCTTCAACCCTGCTTTCTTCTGAAGTAGGCTGTCTAATGCAATATAGTTGGTGGCGAATCGAGTGATAGCTGGACGAATAATTTCTCCTTTGCAAAATTCACGCATCTTTGCCAACAACCAACCATGATTGTAAATATAATTTGTGACCGTTCTAGCTCTTTTTACCACAGTAGCAACATTCTCTCTCTTCCCCATTGCCTTAAACATGAGATCAATACAATGTGCTGCACATAATGTCCAAAACACATTATGATGCTTCATTAACTTTTTTCCAGCTTTAACAAATGCAGAACCGTTGTCGGTCACGACTTGGACAACATTATGCTCTCCCACCTCCATGATTACATCCCTCAATAATTTGTAAATATACTTGCAGTTCTTTATATGGTCTGAAGCATCAACAGACTTAAAAAAAATTGTCTTTCCCTTGGAGTATACCATGAAGTTTATGATAGACAATCTGGTCGGGCCAGTCCATTTATCACACATGATTGTGCAACCATTAGTTTCCCACTTTAACCTCAACTTGTTAACATACTCGCCAATGTCTTTATACTCCATATCCAAATATTTGTTTCTTATCTCATAGGGAGTGGGAGGTTGTACTCCAACACCGGCCTGTTGACATCCCACTACCATATTTTTGAAATTATGTGATGATGTTTTCTCAGCAGAGACATTTTTATAGATAAAGAACCTGCTAATTAGATGCCTCATTCCTTCCTTCACATTACCTCCAGTGAAATAACTCCAAACACTCTTTTGACGTGCTTTGGATGACTTATATAAACTTGGGGCTATTGGTGGTGTTGGTTGTGATTCTCTAAGACTACCTCCCCGTCTCATTTGTGAACCACCACTTGTTCCGGAACCTTGTGCTCTATTAAGAATTTTATGAAGGTGTTCTCTTTCCCATGCTGACTGTTTGGAGGCACGTAATGCTTGTTTCAAACTGCGTCGTTCTTCAGGTCCCATGTCATCATCACATTCGTCCTCATCGTCATCATCATCACTGTCAACCGCTTGGCCAATGACTTCTCCTCGTAGCCCAGCTCGAATATTTTCCATTCCATGTGTTATCTTTTCCTTCTGCTATTTTTTATTTTTTAATAATGTGCTGATGAATGCCTTCACTTCTGGGGGGGACATTATCGCATCGTTGGACATTTTTTGCTGGATCTAATCCACTAAGACGGTACTTAAGTCGTGTCACTCCGCCACTCTTCATTACCCAACCACAACATTTGCAAATTGTGCCATGGGTCTCTATGTTCCCAAGCTGGATCACGTTTAGTAACTCCACTAGACATCTTAAACGTACCTATATTTATTTTTCATGAAAATTAGACAATTATTTTTTGGCCAAAAAATATAGTAGTGATGATGGTTATATAAGAGAACCTAAATAATAAAGTTACTCTACAGAAGAATTAAATATGAAGTAAAGAAAATGATTGTAAAAATTTAAGTAATTATAAAAATAATATGGAATAATAAAACCTAATATTAATGAATAATAATCCAATTTGATAAAAAAATAATACTAATATAAAACATAGTGATGAATAATAATCCAATTTGATAATAATCCAATTTAATAATAATCCAATTTAATGAATAATCCAATTTAATGAATAATCCAATTTGATAATTAAAAAAACCTAATATTAATGAATAATAATCCAATTTGATAATAAAACCTAATATTAATAAAATAATAAATAACATTAAACATATTAAAATTATCCTAGGGAATAATTATACAACATTACTTAATTACTTAAAAAAATTAACATGTAATTGTTAACATTACTTACAAAAATTAACATGCAAGTATTAATTACTTAAAAAAATTAACATACGAGTCCACACAAATTTTTTTGTTGTTGTATAAATTACAATAATATAAATATAAGTTTGTAAACTTACCTTAAATATGGAACCCTTTGTGTTCAAACTCTGGAATGGATCTGGAATGGCTTTGAAAGGGGTAAGGGAAGAAGAAGAAACGAAAATGCTCTGAATGGCTCTGATACTCCACCTTTGAGAATGTGAAAGAATATCACAGACAGTGGCACACGGTTTTGAATGTGAAAGAATATCACAGACTCACAGTGGCACACGGTTTCATTATGAAAGCACTATTATTTTTGTCCATAGTCTGAAATTGTAAAAAGTGATTGTAAAAGTTGTCAGGTGAGTTAGATGACACAACTACACACACACAGACACGCCACCACACACGCACACAGAGATCACACACGCACACAAGTTATGTGACACAACACACGCACACAGACATCACACACAGATAGTCTCTCTCTCGATCATTCTCTCTTCTCTGAGCTCCCTTCTCCCCCTTCTCCCCCTTCTCCATTATCCCACACACACACACAGATCTCCCACACACACGCACAGAGGCCCAAGGTCTCTCGATCCTTCTCCCACACACACGCACAAAGACTCAAGGTCTCTTGATCCTTCTCCCACATCGCCTTCTGCTCCTCCCTCGTCGGCGCCGTCTCTCTTCTTTCTCTCTGCACCGAGGGTCCAAGACCCACATACACACACGCACACCATCGCACCTGCTTTAGGAAGACACCCATCATCATCAGCAACCTCGTCTTTCTCCTTCTCCTTCTCGTCTCTGCAACTCGGCGAACGCAGGAACTCCGGCGAGTTTCTTGAATTTCCCCGGTTAGGTAAACTTC